TGAACAGCCGGCCCACCAATCGCACATGTCACAGAAGTTCTAGCTCACGTCAGCTCCCAAAGGCTGACCTGGAAGGACAGCAACAAGGTGCAGAACAGGTTCCAGACGTTTTGGTGGAAAACAAAAGGAGGAAGGAACCCTTTTGGAAGGTGAGGCTACTTGTCCCACATCCCACTTACAAGGTCTGAATTCATTTTACCTTGTCCACGTATTACTTACACATTATAAAATATATGTACTGTTAAAATTTGCATATATTTATACATGGACCCTAATTACTGTACTATTTGTAACAAGGAGAAAAAAACCAAAACGTTCCTCAGAGGGATAGAGTGGTTGCCTAGCATGTGTGAGGCCCAGGGTTCAAACCCCAGTATTGCCCTTACCCCCTCCCCCAAAAGAAAGAAATGTTCCTTAAGTGATAACGGGCGGTGAACCTCAAGATACTCTCAGAAGAGAAAAACAAATTTAAATTATAAAATGTCTGTCTTGGGTTGTAGCTCAGTAGTAGAGCACCCGCCTGGTAAGTGTGAAGTCATGAGTTTCGTTCCTAGTATCAAAGAAAGAAAGACAGACAGACAGACAGACAGACGGACAAAAAAGTCTATATATAAAAATGAAAAAATACATGCATATACACTTATTCTAGAAAATACAGAAATGACAGAGAAGTAGAAAAGGAACAGATACTCCTGACCCTATCCAAAGGCCACCCCTGAGCTTCCTCTCAGGATGTTGTTGTATGTGCGCATGTGCTTTATACAGCAGGAATCACACTCGATATTGAACTTTTAAAGTTTAACTCCAGACCAGACACTCTCTCTCACCTTAGGATAAGCATCGTTTGGTGCTTACCTGATGCCTATTGAGAGGGTGGCCCTGGCCTGATTCTGTCACATCCCCAGGGGAACCTGGGCCTTGACAGTGACAGAGCCAGGCCTTTCACAATACACATCCAGTACCTCCTGTCAGGGCGGTGGTTCTTGGAGGAACAGCCAGGTGACCACTTTGGTTAAACAACCCAGGTTACTGTGTCAACACTAAACTAAACACACACACACTTCAGGTTTGTTGAGTACCAGAGGAAGTCAGATTTGGAAAAATGATATGTTGTTTCCCTCTGGAGTCACCACTGGCAAAGGTAACCCAGCAGGCCCATGGGCAATGGACAGCTCCGTTGCATCCATATATGGTCAAATATTTTATCAAGTAACCCCCCAGGGGACAGCAGGGCCCTCACCTCAGCCCTTGGGCCCAGAGTGACACAGAGGCATTAGAGAGATGTACGCAGAACTTAGAGAATGCAGAGGAGACAGCCAGGAAGCTGTCTGAAGACAGACAGAGCCAAGACTTATTTTCATAGACCAACACAGCAGCTGAAAGAGGTTTCAGCAGGGGAGTAAAAGGAAAACCTATTCCCAGAGCCTGAAGCATGTGGCGGGTGAACAGAGCCTAGAGGAAGACCCTAGTGAGGGTTCCATGATTTTCAATATGGCCTTGTGGAAGTGATGGGTTTTGAGGTGATGTTACTTGTTGTTGGTTGTTGGAGGACAGGATGTTATCTACTGATTTTGTCTCATTTTTCCTCTTTTAAAACTTTTTTTACATATATGTAGCTTTAAATTTTTAAGTATTTACATACAGTATATGGTAATTAAAGGCATTCTTAATGCTGCCTTTCCCCCTAAATCACCATTAATAATTAGATGCAAATTCCTCCTTCAAACAATTTTTGCTATGCAGATTTTTACTTAATAGCATATTTTTAAAAAGAAGCTAGAGGGTAGGGATCGCATCCCTAGATCTTGGCTCAATCCCCAGCACTGATAAAAAAAGTAAAAATATTTTAAAGCTGTAATCCAAGCACTCCAGAAGCTAAGACACAAGGCTTGTTGCAATTTTGAGACCCGCCCAGGCTACAAACTGAGCTCAAAGCCAGCCTAAACTGCATAGTGAGACCCTGTCTCAAAAAGGCAAAAAAAAAAAAAAAAAAAAAAAAAAAGTAAGAATTTTCAAGATAGCTAATATCATTGGTATTTTTGGATCAGCATTGAGCCAAGGGATTTTCATGGAATTTTTTCCACATGCATATATGAAATTTTCTTTTTCTCTCTCTCTCTTTTCTTTCCTCATTTAGTGGTGCTAGGGATCAAATGCCAGGCCTCATATTCTACCCCTAAGCCACATCCCTGAAATGTTTATGGGTATTGCTCTAACTCCAAGCATAGAGAAGTGTGGCTTATCACTGAAAGAGGTCCCTCTTGAGGCACATTTGAGCTAAAAACCACCAAGCTCCTGGAGTAGGGAGAGTTCCTGAACTGCCTCGGGATGGGAAACAAAGATACATATTTTACAGCTGCCCCTCCAGGGCTCCCACACCCACAGGAGACCCACAGGACTATTTCTGGAGCTGCCTGCCTGAGAGTAACTTAGGCTTGAACTCTGGTCTTGAAAGGAAAAAAATTATCCAACTGTCTCTAAGAACTAGAGCCATTCTAAAAACAGATTAATTTTAAAGGCATAGAAAAATGTTTTTCCACTTCGAATTCCAAAGTGGTAACCAGCATTTTGCTGACAGTACTAACAAATACTGTTTGTAAAGATTAAATTAAGATCTGAATAGCTGTTGCATTTAAAAAATTTTCCCCTACCAATAATTACACAAATTCTAATAATGTCTACCTTTCCCTCTCTTTTATATACCTCTTCCATGATGTGAACATAAATTTCTAATGAAATAAGTATCTCCTTCCTCAGTCCAGAAGAATCCTGAGTAATCACTTTTTGGACCAATACGAAAAACTACATTTTACATTCTGTCCCGTACTCACATATATAGGGGTGACATTAAAATATTTAACAAAGCTGGACATACGTAGAAGATGTGCACAAGATTCAAGCATTAGTAAACAAATCTGGAGGAGGGACATTAATTGTGGAAAGGGGTGCTGGGCTGCAACAAGGAGCCTCCTGCAGCTGGACGAGTGCTCCGGTACTGAGCTACATGCCCAGCTAGTGCAAGGCCCTTAAAAATCCATTAATGTTCATAGTCAGGTAAATTGCTGGGGTCATGTGCCCGGATGTGGGAACAGAAAAGGAAGTAACATTTATTAAGCACTTACATTGTGTAACACATAGGCACTGATTCAAGAACAATGAATAACAAGAATTGAGTCTACTCTACACACCTGATCACAAAGACAGCTGTAGTATCAAGCGAGATTGCGTTTTCAGTGGTCCTAAAACATATTGCTATCTAAGAGGGGTTTTGTTGTTATTGTTTTGGTTGGGTTTGGCTTGGTTTGATTTTGAGACAAGGTCTTGTTATGTAGTTCAGGCTGGCCTTGAACTTGCAGTGATCCTCTTACCTCAGCTTCCCGATTGCTGGGTTACAGGTATACACCACCACACTGAACTTAAGTAACTAATACTTTATACTTTTTTCTTCCTGTTAGTGTCTACTGGTAAGAGGAGAGATGCTTAAGTTCACAGACAACTGTCTCTCTGTAATCAATGCATGGGCTGGTGACAGATATATAATAGGCAATAAATAATGCAGGTTGATTCACTGATGTAATTTGGTACCTACTAAATTGCTTTCAATAAAAGCATGTGGCATAATAATTTTTTTTAAAAAAATTAAACCTGACAAGGGGGTGTATGCTTGTAATTCCAGCACTCTGAGAGCCTGAGGTAGGAGGACTGTAAGTTCAAGCTTGGCTTGGATGACTTAGCCAGACCCTGTCTCAAAATAAAAGATTAAAAAAGAAGAGCTCTGGCTTCACCTTAGTGTGAATGCCCTGAATTTAATCCCTAATACAGGGGGAAAAAATGCAGCAACTGGCATGTCATAAAAGGCCAGTCCAACAGTTACTATGTTTGTGTATGTGACTAGGTGTATGCAGTATCCCCTCCCCAGTGGTTTCATCTTCTGTGGTTATAGTTACTTTCAGCCAACCACAGACAGTAAGACATTTTCCCAAAGAGACATAATTCACATAATTTTATTATACTATATTGTTACAATCATTCTATCTTATTATCAGAATCTCATAAGTGCCTAATTTTTAAGTTAATCTTTATCATACATATGAATACATAGGAAAACAATATATACAGGGCTCACTACAATTCATAGTTTCACGCATCCTTTGGGGATCTAGGAACGTATCCCTGGACTACTGCGTATCAAGAAATAAGATCTTATTACTTTCTATTACATTCCATTTTTGCTTTATTTCTTTAAAAAATGTCTGGATGCTAGCCAAAAGCAACTTGTATGTTCACCATGTTTATGACTATGAAAGTATGTGCACCTATGTTCATGAAACGAGATCTTTACAATGGGCAGTACTCGGATGCTATTTTATTCTGTTCTCTTCCCCTTCCCTTTTCTTTCTCCCTTGTAGCCCTGAGGACTGAAAGTAGAGCCTTCACATTGAGTTACAGGCCCTAGCCTTTTAAAAATAAATTTATTTATTTATTTATTTATTTATTTATTTATAGAAAGAGCCTGGCTAAGTCTCTAAGTTGCTTGGGCTGACTTTAAACTTGTGATCCTCCTGTTTCAGCTTCCCACACTGTGGGGATAACAGATATATACCACCACACTCATCCCTCCTCCATTTCTTAAAAAAAAAAAAAAACAAAAAACAAAAAAAAAAAAACACTGAGGGCCGGGGATTTAGCTCAGTGGCTTAAGCGCCTGCCTATAACTATGAGGTCCCGAGTTCAGTTCCCTGTACCAAAAAAAAAAAAAAAAAAAAAAAGGCAAGATTCACTAAAAGGTTTTTGTAACTATTTAGAAACCCTGCTCTAAGATAATAAAATATATTTTAGCCAACAGAATTCTCCTAGCTTAACAGGTATATCCTCAGATCCAGAATGTGTTGCATTGGCCAAGGTTTGGAGACAGGAAAGACCCCAACCAGTGATCTCAACTTGCTGTGTTTTAGAGCAGGGAAGCCAACACTAGGAAGGTGCCACAGAATGTCACTCACCTTGTAGTGGAAGGAGCTGGCTGGGGACCCGCTGGAGCCATACCGATCATTTTTCACTAGGTGGTTATAATAGTTATTGACCTTGGAATTAACATGGTGGTTGGACCCAGGGTCATCAGTGATGGGGCAGATAAAGTAGCCTTCATCATCGCTGTCAGTCTCAGAGTTACCATTGTGGTCACCTCTGAAGGATGGGCCACCATCCACGCCCTCCAGGCGGAAGATGAGGTCGTCATCGGCCATGCTGTAGGGATGCCCGTTTTACCCAAGGGGTGCACGGTCCAGCCAGAGTTACGAGGCCAATGCAGCAGTGAAGAACCTGCAAGGGAAGCAAGAGCCAGAGGGTGGGTGCTCTTCCCCTGAAGAAGGGTGGGGGTGACAGCTCACTGGGCACCTGAACCTGCCTGACACTGGCAACAGACAAGAGTTTGCACCCCCAGAGTAAACCCCAGAGCTGTCTTTTGGGGAGGCAGCTAGCTGTATCCAAGAACATTTCACAGTCCAAACTTGCCAACCCAGTTATTCTAAGACCTCTAGCACTTGGAAATGGTGGAACCAGAGATGCCTTAGCAACCAGTGATCTTCTTAGAATATAAATTAGATCAAGTTATTCGCTTAATGCTTTCCTGTTAACTTTCCTCCATATCTGTAATAAAATCCAGATGACTTTTTAAGGCTACAGGGACTGAGTAATCTGGCCCCCAGCCCACCTCTCCTCCAGCCATGGCTGCTCTCCAGGCACAGTGGTTTCTTCCTGTTCTGTGAACATATCACGCACATTCCTACCACAGGGCCTTTCTACTTGTGCCCTGTGCCTAGAACTACTTTCCTACAGTAGGTTCTTCTTTACCACCAGAACCCCGGCTCAAAAATCACTTTTTTAGAGAAACCTCTCCCAAATCTTCAAAAGAACCAACCTTCAAATGCACATCTAGTCACTCCCTTTTATTTTCTTCACAATCATTTTTACAAGCCGAAATCACCTTGTTTACTTTTTATTTTCCATTTGTGCTCTCCTTCTGCCTTTACGGTGCTCAGGACACTTCTCTGGAATACATGAGCATCCCAAGAGTGTCCTCTGCAACAGGATGAATAACAGCAAAAATATACAGCACTAACAGTCCCAAATGTCTGGGAGTGGAAGCCCATAATATAAATTACAGTATTTCATTGTACATTGTGAAACACTGTGTGACTTTTTTGTCAGAAAAGCAAAGTTTGGATATCCACAGACATACAAAAGTAGTAAAGGGATTATCAAAAATAGCAATATTAACATTCATGGCCAACTGATTTTCAACAAGGTGCCAAGATAACTGGCCCCCTCATCTTTATGGCCAACTGATTTTTCAATAAAGATGCTAAGGAAACTAAATAAGGAAGGAAGAATCTTCCAACAAATAGTGCTGGGGTAAGTGAGGATATGCAAAAATTAACTCAAAATACATCAAAGATCTAAATATAAAAGCTAAAGCTCTATTACAGGAAAATACAGGAGACCATCTTCTTGACCTTGGATATAACTCAGTATACACTCAAGAGACAATGAAAACATATGTCCACACAGAAACCTTTACATAGGTGTTCACAGCAGCATTAAGCATAACAGTCAAAAGGGGAACACAAATGTCCAGCAACTGATGAATGGATTTTAAAAAGTAGTATATTCGCATAATAGAATGTTACTTAAGAATACGTATTTTTCCAAGTACTGATACAAGTTTCAACCTTAAACTTAAAACTGTGATGCAAATTGAAAGAGATGGTCATCAAAAACTACCACTGCATAATTCAATGTATAGAAGGCAAATTTATAGAAACAGAAAGCAGATCAGTGAGGGCCAGGGCTGCAGGTAAAGGCAGAAGGGCAGCTGGAGAAATGGCCACGCGTCTCTTGTGAGGCGATGAAAATGTTCCAAAATTGACTGTGGCGCCAGCTCTATGACTGTGAATATGCTGAAAGCCACTGAAATGTACATTCTTAAATGCATGAACTGTAAGATGTGTGAATTTCAAGAAAATCAAAGTTTTTCGTGTGTGTGTGTGTGTGTGTGTGTGTGTGTGTGTATATATATATATATATATATATAAAAGATAGCTAAGACAGTTATGCTAATGATTTCTCTGAGGTCACTGAAGAGAAAGATCTGTGCAGATATTGTTCGAACAACTGAATGCAGATGTTTTGTGCTCTGGGTGAATGATTTGGGGATGACAATGCACAATGTATGCATCATAGTTGCCCCCGATTGATGTGTTTTAAAATTTTGTTTTAATTTTTTCTTTTTTTTTTATCTTTGAAATAGATTTGGAAAAAACAAGTTAAAGTTTTTAAAAAGTCAGGAAAAAAATGTTAAATTTAAAAAGCAAGCTGTAGAAAATCATATATATTGTGGTGTGAAAAGAAGAAAAGAAAGGACAATTATACATATATCAAAACTTTTTCAAAAAAAAAAAAACTTTTCCAAAAGGATTTCAGCCCACACTGGAATGGACAGGGGAACTGGGAGCTGGAAGCCAGGAATAAAGGGAAAGCTTGTGCACTTATGTACTGATCTGTTTGCAAAGCTGGACTGCTTTCAATGCAAGATAATAAATGTTAATCTGTGTTTTAAAAACTGTTTAAGAGCCAAGCACAATGGTAAGTCTGTAGGCCCAGCTACTGGGGAGGCTGAGGCAGGAGGCTCACCTGAGTCCCGGAGTTTGGGTGAGCTTGGCATCAGAGACAGAGCTCATTTCTTAAAAGAAAAAAAAATTTTTTTCTTGATGAAGACAACAATTCTAATTATTCTTTACAGGTCTGTCTATTATATAGACCTTGGCATTTTCTTGACAACTACTGAGGGACGAAACACATATTCCTACCCATACCTAGATGGCAATCAAAAATTTTCAGGAAACTCCTTTTGTGTAGTGTACTTTTGCTATTTTCTAACCCGTGTATGGCTTTTGGTTTTCTTTTTATTCTTTTCCTTTCATATTCCACCCACATGTTGATTTCTCCACCCACAATTTGCAAATCAATGTCAATTTTGTTTCTTATCTTCTGAGTGAGACAGAGTCAGCAGCTGGAGCTGATAGCAGAGCCACCTGACCGCTGTTGCTCAGGTCTGCCCTGGGCCTAGGCCTGCTGCTTCTGCCCTGGAATCTCCCTCTACCCTGGGAAGCTCCTAGCAGGACTCCCTGCCAACCAAGATAGTGTGGTGGTGGAGCTGCCAGTGCGCCCAGCCAGGTCAGCAAGCTCTGGGTGCCAAGATGGTGCCATGGGAGGGGCCAGACCACAGCTTTAGCCAACACAAAGCAGGCTGTGCGGCTTCATGGTGAGAGCTTAATCCCACTCTGGTTACCAGGGGCAAATCCTGGCTCTGTTGCAGGTGATCCTGACAAATCAATCCATCTCGCTGGGATTCCACAGCTAGTTCACAGAAGACTTAGAACAGAATCACAGCCCTTGGCCACATCTTATCACGGACCTCATGTTCTCCTGACTCTGGGAAACAAGAGCAGCTGTAGGCAAGCGGGTGTGACTCTCGGCCTGGTACAGTGTCTTGTGCACGGCCGGCACTGGATAGGCACTGTAGACAGAGTGAACCTCATCTGTCTGGTAAGGCAGCTATAGCAGTGCCTGCTAACTATTAAAACTGTTCCCTGCTTCTTCCTTAATAACAGAATCAGTGTTGGCAAGAGCTAATCACATGGCAACTCTGAAAGGGCTGCATTTCCCAGACTCCTTTACAGCTGTGTCTGATCATGTGACCAAAACCCTACCAATGGGATATGAGCAGAAATACTGTGTGCAACTTTGGGCAAGTGTTCTTTAAGACCCTTTTGCTCTCTTTCTTTCTTCTGTTTGGAACACAGGTTCAACTACTGGAGTTCAAGCAGCTACCCTGGCCTTAACATAGAAGCCATGTACGGAGAGACCAGCAGAGCCTTCAGACAACAGCAAATGGGTTTCTGACGTCATACAGCAACATTCTACTCCAGTACAATTTATTGTAATTTTCCTTTTTTTCCCCCTCACAACCTGCTAATTCTACCCGGTTTGGCAGCCCCTTTTCCCCCACATTGTAACAAGTAACATTCAGAGGCAAGGTCAGCCTGGGGAAACTGTGCCCTCAATCCAGAGTCCTAACTTGGTAGCTGCTCTCACACGTGTACTTAAACACAGGGTACCTAGGGAAGGGTTGTCAGCTTCCCCTAGACAGGTAAGGAACTCTTGTTAGCCCGTGACACAGCTCCATGGCACCTGTTTTGATATCAGCCTCCTAGTAACCTCCATCAAACTTGCACTTCCTTGACCCAAAGGACACTGATCCTCCAGGTTTCCTCTGCCCTTAACAGGCACTGACAGCCCCACCCTGTCCTTCACAAGCACTGGGAAAATACTTTCACAGAGGTAAAATTCTGAGCTAAAAAGCTGGCAAACCCCAGCTCTGGTACTTCCGAGTTTCACCTCTCAACCCTCTGTGGAGCAGCTGTAAATAGGGATGCATAATTACACCAATTACATAGTTTTAGCTCACCAGTGCCCAGTGACTGCACAAAGCAAGTCCTGAGACAGAGGAACTGTTGTTATCTGCATCGTTTCTAGTATCGTGAATAAAGAGGGTGAGCCTTGGGTCCCAGCCAGGCTGGTGACCTGAATATCTGGTTAGGAACAAAGCCAGATAACTTCAGGAGTCTTCAGGGAACAGATTATTTTAGGTTCTCACCATAAAATTCATGGCTGTCCCTACATCATGCTATTCAGGGCTCCTCTGGCAGCCAGAGAGCAGAAAACTATGCTTGCAATGTCCTGGATGAGTCTTGCAGGTCAATAAGCTGCCTGCCTATGCAGACAGAGGCTATATATTCCCGCCCTGATTTCAAGACCCAGCATCCCAGAGCCACTATGGCTTACACAGAGCTAGCCAGTGCACACTCTGGTACATGCTCGGCAACTCCGGAAGATTTGGGTAGTTGGGGGGGGGGTACAGTGAATGTGTCACATGACCCAAGTCTATACAGCACTAGTACCTGCCCACCAGTAACTGATTCAGAAGTGGTCACGTGACTTGAGTCAACCCAATCTGGCCCTGCCCAGGCTTAGGGCTTCTGCTTGAGTGACTAGAAGAGGAGTCAATCCTTAGTGCTAGACATAAATTATAAATGGACTGAGGCCACTGCAGAACAATGATGAAAAGAAGAGGAGAGGAGAACAAGAGATGAGCAGAAGAAAGCCTAGCAATGACACCATTTGAGAACCCAATGTATGTGCAGGAAACTAAACTACCCACTCGTTCTGGACTTCTGAATTACAGGCTTATGCTAAACCCA